GAGGGGAAGGTTATGGAGAATTTGTGACTCTTCCTTTCTTGTTTGGGAGTTTAAAAATTGGAGAGTTAATTTAAATGTTCATTTTTTAATTATCTTCAAATGAGGTTTTTGAAGTACTGTTAGGAATATACTTGTATAGTTGAGCTGGTAGAGTCGGTTAGACCGATTGTTAGACTTGTTAACATACAATTGTTAAAATACTCTTGTAACCTTCTCACTCTCAATAAGATTGATTCATTTCCATTATCTTCAATAATCTCTCTCTACAGTTTCTAATATGGTATCATGAGCTTGTGTTAGTAAATTTTTTGCCATGGCGATTGAAAGTACTACAACATCATCTTCCGCATCTACTGGAAACTTTGTTTTTTCAGTCGTTTTTGCTCATCCGCTCCACCTGAAGCTTGATTCGAAGAATTTCCTTTTCTGGAAACAACATGTTGAATTTGTTGTTCGTGCACACAAACTCCTTTAGTTTCTTGTTGATTCTAAAATTCCACCGAAATTTGTTGATAAAAATGATGAACGTAATCAAATCATCAATGAAGTTTATCTCACCTGGGAACAATAAGATCAGATGCTCTTCGTCTGGCTTCTATCATCATTATTTGAGTCGCTTCACGCACGTGTAATCCACTGCCGTCATTCATATCAAATTTGGAATGAAATTCAGAAATTCTTCACCGCTAATGTTGTCGCGCGAGCTCGCCAGCTCAAATCTGAGCTTTATTCAACCATCAAAGGTGATCACACTATCTCTGAATATCTGCTTCATATCCGAACTGCTAGTTGGCATCAGTGAATCAATTTTTACAAAGATCATATTAACATAGTAATTGAAGGTCTTCCTGAGGAATACGAGTCTCTAGTTTTCTCTATTTCCGACCGAAGTCTTCTTGATCTTGTTACACTTTCAGAAGTTGAATCATTACTCCTAGCCAAGAAATTAAGGATTCCTAGACTTCGCGAAGCATCTCAATCCACTCTGTTCTCAGCGAATGTTGCTAAACTTGAAGAATCTCAGACTACTAGTGATTCTGATTCTCATGAATCTCATGATATTACTACCTCTGTTCATCTTGTTTAAGCCAATTCTACAAATTCTCGTGGTGGTAGTGGATCATACAGAGGTCGAGGTTGTGGTAATTACAGAGGTAATTACAGAGGTGGAGGTTGCTCTGGTCCTCGTTCATCTATTATTTGTCAGGTGTGCAACAAACCTGGTCATCATGTGATCTCTTACCATCGCTTTAACCCTAGATATGCCTCTCGGCAAGCTACATATTAAGGAAATTGGTCCAGACCTCCAACATCAATGCCTAATTTTCCTCCTCCAACTCAATTCCATCACCAACCACCTTACCAATCTGCTAAACCTGCTCAAACTCCAGGATTTCACAATTGGTCGGGTTCACATGTTAATCAGCCCTCTGCAGCTTGGGCTTGTGCCAACAACTCTGTTATGGGACCTGTGCCACAGCCTCAAGCTTGGTTTCCAGATTCAGGGGCAACTCATCATGTTACTGTTGATCCTCACAACCTGCAGCACAGTGAAGTTCCTGCTAACTCTGATAAACTCTTTATGGGCAATGGCCAAGGTTTGAACATTAAGTATGTTTGTTCAACTTCCTTTTCATCACCCTATAATCCCTCTCACTTACTATCTTTTAACAATATTCTTCATGTTCCATCTATCACTAATTAAGAATCTTATCAGTGTTAGTCAGTTTGCCAGAGACAATCAAACTTTCTTTAAATTTTATCTTAATGAATGCTTTGTTAAATTTCTGGTTTCTAAACAAGTTCTTTTATATAGCACACTTGGCACTGATGGTCTTTACAGATTCTAGTTCTTTCCGAACCTTCATCAGTCCAAAGCTATCCTATTTCAGTCTCCTCATGTTTCATCAACAAACAACAAGTCATTTCAGTTTTATTGTAATAGTCATTACTCAATTTGTAATAAAACAAATAGTCATCTATCCAGTCTGAACTCTACTGATTCATGTTCACCTACTGTGTTTTCTACTTGTAAACTTTGGCATCTTAGGCTTGGTCATCCTCATTTTTAGGCTCTTAAGTCTGTACTCAAACAATGTAAGGTTCCATATCAAAATAAAGCTACTATTGATTTTTGTTCAACTTGTTGTTTGGGAAAAGCAAAACGCTTACCATCTTATTCTTCTGTTACCGAATACTCAGCCCCCTTTCAACTCATTTTTACTGATTTGTGGGGACCAGCACATGTAACTTCATTTGATGGTTATTCCTATTATATTTCTTTTATTGATGCATTCAGCTGGATATATTTTCTCAAAGCTAAGTCAGATGCTTTTACAGCCTTCAAAAATTTCTGAGTATGTCAATACACATTTTTCTTTACAAATCAAATTTGTCCAATCTGACTAGGGAGGGGAGTTCAGACCATTTACTAAATTCCTAGCTGAAAAAGGGATCACTCATAGACTAGCATGTCTTCATACACACCATCAAAATGGTGTTGTTGAACGAAAAGATCACACTATTGTTGAGAAGGGTCTTACTTTACTTGCTCATTCATCTTTACCCTTCAAATTTGGGATACAGCTTTTGCTACCTCTGTTCATCTCATCAATCAAACTCCATCTGCTTCAATTTCTAATTACATTCTTTTCTAAAAGTGTTTGGATGCTCTTGCTTTTCCTTTATCAGACCATACAACAAACATAAATTTGACTACCATTCTAAAGAATGCATTTTTCTAGGATATTCAACTCAACATAAAGGGGCTGCAAACACATATGGTTAGTTCTTGTAAACTCACTAATGAAGGAACTAATGTGGTAGAAGATCCTACTTTTTACAGATTTATAGTAGGTTCACTCCACTATGCAACTCTAACGAGACTTGAAATCAACTTTGTTGTTAATAAAGTGTGTCAATTCAGGCACAACCTCTTCATGAACATTGGCAGGCAATTAAATGCATCCTTAGATATTTGTCTGGTACACTTAAGCATGGCCTTACAATCAAATCAGCAGTCTCAAACTCACCTTTATCTTTAAATGGATTTTGTGATGTTGATTGAGCTTCAAATCTTACAGACAGAAGGTCAACCTGTGGACCTTGCCTCTTCCTTGGACCTAATCTTATTTCATGGTGGTCTAGGAAGCAAATCTGTGTTGCCAGGTGTTCAATTGAAGCAGAGTATAGAAGCCTTGCAGACACAACAACAGAAATTCTTGGGTTCAATCTTTGCTAAAAGAAGTTCAAGTTCCATACTAAGTTCCCAGACTTTACTGTGATAATCTCAGCATAGTGTATCTTGCCCATAATCCTGTTCTGCACACTTGTGTTAAGCACATGGAACTTGACATGTACTTTGTGAGAGAGAAGGTTCAATTAAAGCAACTGGAAGTCTTTCATATCCCAGCTCAGTTTCAAATAGCAGATGTTCTTACTAAACCGCTTTCGAGTTCTAGATTTGTTGAACTAAGGTCCCAACTGAGTGTAGCTGATCTGACTACATAATCAGCCTCAGTTTGAGGGGGGAATGTTAGGAACATACTTGTATAGTTGAGCTGGTAGAGTCGATTAGACCTATTGTTAGACTTGTTAACATACAACTGTATTCGGTTATAGCTAATGTATTATGTATATAAATACTCTTGTAACCTTCTCTCTCTCAATAAGATTGATTCATTTCCATTATCTTCAATAATCTCTCTCTGTACAGTTTCTAATAAGTACATACAACAAATTAAATGATAGTTTTAGCTCAAGTTAAAATGAATACAAGTTCAACTATTTAAATTCCTATATATATTAAGTGAGTGTAAGTATAGTTCTCCTGTAGCTAAACTCTTTCAAATTTGTAACTCTCAAACAAACAAAAAAACGATTTCTTTCACTTCACATCTCCTTGTCCTCTTACGGCTAAGTGGCTAACCTTCAAAGCCTTTAGTGGCATGAAATAGACTAGTGGAAAGTGAATAGTCATATACATAGATAGTGATTGCTCATACCTATAATTGACGCATATCAAGCAAATAGAAGGTATGTTAGAGTTTTCACATATACCATAACTGCGTTTTTCCTTTTCATCATCCGAACATCCGCTCACACAACTTTTAGCTATAATCGTGTATGAAGCATGCAGGTGCCAAAAATAATGAGAGAACATGTAGCAGATACAAGGAGTCGAGGACATCTAACGTGATGTATGGTTAACCAGGTAATAGGTCGGAACCCTTGCATTTAGTTAATGGATGAAGGATTGGGTACCTCATCAGCGTCAAAAGTTTCTCCAAGGATGAACGAGCTTTTCATCTGGCTCCCAATCAAAGGCATCACATTAACATTCCACAATTACTTCACTGTGCGTTGATTGGGGATCTGCTATCTTATTTGAAATAAGGATATGATGGTCAAAGTAGGTATATTTCAATCCTACGCTAACTGCTAGTCCTAGTTTTAGAAAATTAATATGATTTGGTCTTATATGGATGATTTTCCCTTAGGTAGGTATACTTATACCTCTTCACATTCCCTATAATTAGTTATTAGCATAATTACAAGTTTACTACATACTACATATGTTCTTTACATGTTTTAATGCCCACCCCAGATCCCCAACGCATCGCACATTCGCACATTTGCACATGTTTAGACTATTAGATGTTTTCTTTTGGACCATAATTTGTTGGTCTGATTTGTTTAAATCTAATATGGTCTAGTCTGGTTTGAAATGGTATAATAGATGTATGATCTCTATGTATTTTATAAAAGAAAACATCTTAATCTATTACACACAAATATGGTTTAATTTAAATTAGCACACCCAGCTAGTTGCCTAGTTACATGAAAAATGAGAATTCATCGGCTGCATTAATTGTGGAAATCTGAAAGTCCACAGTCCACACAGTTGGGATGGCGATGAACTTCATCACTTCAAACTGTAGCCTACTGAATAATTAAAGGCTTATTAATTACTACGTACAAATTTACAATATCATCTAATGATATAATCATCCATTGCATTGAGATGAATTGCTCTCATTTGCAGCAATGATGCTTCTTTATTTGAACCAAATTACCAAAGAGTTGTACATATTGTACATCCAAAAACGGATATATGACCACATACAATAAAGCACTATTATTCGCAAGTATTATGAAACCTTGCCAACAGAGCAAACTACAACCCTCACTCTTATGTTGCCCTAAATAACTTGTAACCACGAGTACTGTGGATTACATTTTTGTGACAAAAATAGAAATTAAACCTAACTAACACAGGATCACACACTTATTATGATCGAAAAGGCTAAATCCAAGCTAAGGAACATGCACACTTCTGACTTCTGCAGCTTTTTTGCAGCTGATAAGAGATGAGTTAGATATGCACTTGGATAGATTTTTTGTTGCTTAATATAAATAACATGGATGCTGAGATCAAATTTCACCAATAACCATTTTTTACGAGGGAGCCCAGGTTAGATTTTTTTTCTTTTTCTAAATGAGCTCAATACATGCCTCTTTACCGCCTAATAACATCAGTCCTGAAATTGCAGAAATGTTTTAGGTATCAGCCAGAACGAGCACTTATTGCAAAGAATGAAAACTAGCAGTCAGTTATAGAAGCTTACACACATAATTAGGTTGTCTTCCAAAATGGTGAGCAAGAACAGCCAGAATGATAAAGAGCACAACCTACATTACAAATCCAGAGCCTAAGACAATATCTATAATAACAAGGGTTAGAAAACAAAGGTAATAATTAGAGTGAAAAAACTCACCAAAGCTAGAGAGTAATTGGGCTCGCTTTTCATAATGTAAGATCCCCTGATGAAACAAAAACAGATCATATCGTATAAAGGGGGGGGGGGGATTTGGTTAGTACTAAATCAAGTTTATATTCATTATGCCACCAACCTCTTATTTAAGGTTCCAGAGTCCCTGCAAATTCTCAAAATGGCTTCAAGCCTCTTCACAGTTTTGGTTGCGCTAGGATCATTGTTGTCAACCTGTAATACCAACAGATATCACGAAAGATTATTCACTACTGGAGTAATAATCATATTTATGAAAAATTGAAAAAAAAAAATAGTTTAGAAAAATAATGAAAATGGAAAAAAATCTTGAAAAATAAAATTTGATTAAAATGACTACATATCCCTCACCTTCCTTCAGAAGAACTGTAAATAATTGTACTTTTAACGGAAAAAAGACCACCAATCATTTTATCTTCGTTTGGTTTATGGAGAAGAGCAAAGAGTGTGTGAGAGAAGAGAAAAGAGGGTGGGGAGAGATGGAGAAGAGCAAAAAAGTAGAGAAATAGGATAGATATTATGTGTTGTTTTGGATTGAGAGAAATGGTGAAGAAATAGGTATAAAGTGAGGGTAGGATCTATCAACTCAATTACTCTCCAAACAAAAAAGGGAAATTATACATTTCCCTTTCATTTCTCTCTCTTATATCTGTCATCCCTACTTTTTCCCCAAAAAACAAAAGCTTAATGTCCATCAAGTTAAAAGTATTATAAACATAACGAGTTCAAGCAGATGTAATCGTGTGAGTAGCCTAAGCAGATGTAAACATGTCAATTTCCCTAACAAAGCATATAGAAGCTCTGTTTCTCTACAGTAACGCTTCATGCATCTGATTATAGCAATCATAATCATCACCTTAACCCCAAATATGTTGCAGTTGGTAACTTGGTGGCAATGAATTTGTTAAGTAAATTTATTTTCTAAAAGTAATGAACAGTATATGTATTTGCAGCCTTTTTATTTTATCATTTTTATATATATTCATCTTTTTATATTATCTTTTCATAATAGCTTATCTTTTTATCTTTTTTCCTTCTCTTCCTTTTGGTTGTGATATCATGTATCGATTCATGTTAGCCGACCCCAATATCTTTTGGGACTAAGGCTTGGATGTTGTTGTTGTTGTAATGAACAGTATATGTTTTATGCCGGGCTTGTCATGAACTTTTACAAAAGATAGGTAGCAACGCTTCATACCTTTGATTTAAGCATACAAGAAAAGTCATAAAAAGCACCGTATACATCAGTCATTGTCCTGGTCCGATCAATGATCTTAGCAGTTAGACCTAGAAGGCAAAACAAAATATAATGATCACAAACACTATGGATCAATACTCATGCCCAAACAAGTATTCAATCCATTCTTTTTGAACGTCGTTTTAGGTGCATGCAGTTCTGCACATACTAAGAAAGAAATGGACTTTTCCGAAATCAAGATAAAAGATATATATGATGACTAGAATACCTTATTAATGTTTAAAGGTACTATGTAATATTTAGGAAGTTAAACAGAAAACAATAGAACCAACAAATGAAGCTAAGTTCAAATGCCTTCTTTATTCCCAACATATTCTTTTCCCACATATTTTAAACTGAATAAATTATATTCCTCCCTGTTTTCTTTAGTTTAATGTTGAACCCATACATGCAGAACCAAAAGGAGCATGACATAATTACATGTACCTCGTCTCATCTTCACAACACCCCTGAAGACTTTATTATTGTTGTAGCACAATGCTAATGTCCCTATAGCCATGATCTGAAAGTTCAAGCAAATAATTGATCTTTTTGCTGTTATATCTTAGAGAGGGAGATGAGGAACTCTTTGAGAAACTAAGAACTATTATAACGCCAGACCTGTGGAATAGCACAAAATTTGAAGATGGAAGGATCGCGTAAAGCAGACATGTAGGTCAAGCAATCCTCTACGTGTGATAAAGCATTGGTGACCATCTCATTTAGGCACTGCACAGCCTTAACCGAGTTTTCCTCGTATTTTAAATCCTGAAGCGCATTTTAATAGAGATGTAATCATGTATAGAGAGACAAACCAATATTATGTTTTAAACAAATAATATCACCATGTCAAAGTGTCAAACTGAAGAATACATCTGTCCACGTGAAGAAAAAAAGTGATCAGGTCAGGATTTTTTCATATTTTGTCTAGTCTGGTCTGTTCTGAATAATTTTGGTCTGGTCTGACTTGTATATTTCTGTATTGTTTGTTTTATCTTGTCTAAGACCTTGTCTGACTTGTCAGTGGTCCAACTGAATGTCTCTGCTCTGGCTGTGAACTTCTCTAAACTGTTTAGACTAGTTTGATGACTTTGATCTAAATAGTACTGTTATTATTATTTATAAAAGATAAACAGAACATCCGCAAACGCTGGTTCTACGTCCAGAAGCGCTAGAGTATACAAGAGACGAATAGAAGCTAAATCATTATATATTCCAATCATCAAGTAAACAAACCTCAAGTTTGTTGACATATTCACTCCATATTTGACGTGGCCAAAACATTCGAGACTTTGGTATCTCATTGATATCTTCTAGATAATCTCTAATGATGTTTGTTTTCTGGATTGCAGCAATGGAATAGAAATAACAGTAAATTCTTTAATTAAATAGGTAATATAAAGGATAACCAAGGAGTGAAGCCGTGTAGGACTAATCCAATAAATACCTGGAGGAACAACCCCATTGAATTGGATAGATGGTCTGAAGCTAGATCTTCTTTCCCAGAGGCATGAAAAAGTTTTGACAAGCCTAACCCAACAAGTCCAGCAACATAATGACAATACTCGTCATAATCATCAACTGTTTCTACCTGAAAAAGAGATTAACGGATACAATGTGAACAAGCTGGTGTTACATCCAGCCCCAAATGGGAGCCATAAATTTCATGATGAACACAAATGTGCGTGCATCTAATTGCAAAATACCTCCTTGCATATATATTTTGCCATCCCTGCACCCATCCTCTTCGTGATATCCTCGATTGCCTCCTGGTAGCTACAAAATAATTAAAAGCATCAAACTAATGAGCAAGTGCATTCATAGTATTAATGAACTACTCCCAAGTTGCAAAATAAAAGCCTTGTTTGACCAGGAATAGCTACTTTTATATGTGATTTGCCAAAAAAACCAATAAAACGGGGTCACAAACAAGATACATATGATAAACTCAAGTAAACTAAACATACGGATCATATTATATTAATATTTGACAGTTACATCTTACAAAAACTCAAGTTGCAGTGGTCAAGCATGATTTTTGTGACCCAAATGTTGTATAAATCAATCGATCAAGAACTACTTTAAGAGAAAAAAGTCTAATATATTTTCAGATATATGTTAGATTTATTTAACACTAGAAAAAAAAAACTAAAAGAGAAGTAATTTTGATGTTAGAACCCACTTCTTCCCCAGCTCTAGAAAAGCAGTAGAAACATGATGGAATTGGTCCATGAGAACTTTGTATTCCTTTGTACCACCTAGTTAAGAGGTAACAACTTGTCAATTCGAATAGCACTTGGTAATACTCAATATGTAGTATATAGGCTACGTTTGGTTAATAGCGGATTGGCTTCAATCCGCCGTTTTTTCCAAATGAAAACGCTGCATTTTGCAGCGGTTTGCTCCGAATCCGCCAAAAACAAACAGGGCCATAGAGAGTATAGCCCTTTATCTAGTATAAAAGAATGGGAAAAAACAGTATCTGTATCTGTTGAACTAAATGGGACAAGCGATAACTGATTACATTGTTTACCAACTGAAAATGTATGTATACAGATAACTCACATGGAAAATGCCATTCACGGTCATATACATGACGATGGAAAGCAATCAAAATAGGTACTTTGACCTCCGAGGCTATACTTGTATCATCCTCTATTGAGAAAGAAGACATTTAAAAAAATCATAAGAAATAAGTAAAAAAGCAACTTGTGTAATGCAAAGATAAAACCATTGGGCATGAATAAAAAAATACACTCCCTCCATCCAAAAGATAGTGTCCACTGTTAAGTTTTCCATTTTGGGACGTCTAGTTTTTGTTGTCTCGTTTAATACAATAACTAAAAATTAGTTCACCCAAACAAAGACGCTATTTCTTAACTTATACTCCATATAGCATTACCAAAATGATCGGACCAAAAGGATCAGACCAAAATACAGATGTAGTTTCTGAATATTTGTACAAAAAGTGCATTGGAGTGTGGGACATTATCTTTGGGGTGCAGGAGGGTCATGAATGATCCCGTGACTGATAATATGCAAACGCTACTTCAAGTCTTCAACCTTGCATGTGTTTACACATGGGTGAATTGTCCAGACTTGAGCTACCAAATCTAGCAGGTCACTTTGGTAGTAGACCAGTGGTTTAGTTAGGATTAAATCCCACGGTAAATTCAGTTAAGTCACCATTTGAGTGGTTTCACTGTGTCTGAGTTATTTTCTCTACTACAACTTGTCCTCCGACGCTTGTACCAGAACACCTATTAACAATACTTTTATGAACGAAAGCTATAAACTCATAAATCATGCATGGATAAATATGAAACACTATGATTGAGATTATATCCATCTATGAAACTTTTCAGCCTTTAACCCAAAGAAAAGTAGCTCACGCTTTTCTAATCAAAACTACTAACTAAGGAAAAGAAAATGCACATCACAGATAATTGAACGTACCAACAGTGTCAAGCGCTCTAAGAACCAAATAGAAAATGCACACCTGTGAATATAAGTGAAGCTATGTCACATCATTAGTAAAAAGAAAATCACAGGCAAAAAAAGTGAAAACATCTAGAACAATACTTGGACAACAAGACTAGAATGACCTAGACTTAAAGAAAATCAATAGAAATGATAAGTCAGAAAGGGCTGAGCATTTTGAACTAATATTTCTAATTAAATACAGGAAAAATATCTGTCACTATAAATAAGGAAACACATTATATTTAAAAGAGGCGTCTGACTTCATATCCTTCATCCATTGACTCTTTTTCCACATACCAGAAAATAAAGCTTCTCAAATTTATTTATTCTGCTAGACAGGTTTCCAAACACGAAGGTAACTCGCCAGTAGCCACTCACGCAATAAAAAATATACGGAGTAAATTACACATAATGTCAATGAATTGATAAAGAAAGGCGACAATTAACACAAATGTAAAGATTTTCAAATGAAAATATTAGCACATACTGGATGGAGGATGGAAAAGACAGACTAAAACCGGTAAATGCAAGAAAATAAACTTATTACATACAGCATCGCGAAGGTCGGTAGGGAGCTGTTGAATGACGAAAGAAAAGCTGCGAGAGACCTTGAGGAGAATGTTGTAGCAGAATCCCCAGTGGGGCTGCTTGGGGATCTGCTTCTCCGCCCGTCTCGCAGCCATTTTCAGCTTTATCATAGGATACACTTCGTCCGGATGCTTCAGCATCGCTCCCAAACTCCCCATTCCTCTTTTACTCGCTTCCTAACAATTCGATCACTCCCTGGCATAAATCAAAATCTAATTACATCAGTCATGAATACATATACCAACACGTAGACACATAAATAGAGAGAATCGAATTCTAATACGTACTTGTGAGGGTGAAACTTGAGACAAATAATTCTGCAACAGCACCCACTCGTGAATGGCTGCGAAGCGTATGAGTGCAAACCGTGCAGAAATTATGCTTTCAACCTTTCAATGCGAGTTCCCGGAGGAAGAAAAACTTTAACGCGTTGGTGTACCAAGAATTCAAGAAATTTATGCCCCAAATCGCCAAAGTCTTTTTTAGAGGAAACCAGCTTACTACTCAGTTTATTTTTATTAAAAAACATAAGCCGTACAAATTCAATTATTTGGCTATAATAAGATCGAGTGGTGTTTGCCAATCAATTTTGATTATGATTATTGGGAGATAGTCGATTTATAACCCGTTTGGTGACACAAAAATCTATTGATTCAGCTGATTCTTCTGAAATTTGCGAAGTTGTGGTTGAAGTGTTGCATTTGCTGATTATGTTGATTAAAGAAAAATATATTTTTAAAATATATTTTATTAATAAAATAAAGAAAAAATTACATGTAAAAATAGCTCAAATTGTCATCTACAGTAACTTCAGCCAATACAGCTAGAAAAATAACTTCAACCTTACTTTTTCTTGTATTACACAATTCGGCGTAGGAAGACAAAAGTTTCGTGTTTGGTGAAAAAGGTGGCTGATAAGTCGAAAAATAGTGTTACGAAACGGCCTCTTGGTGTATTAATATCAATCGATTATGTTAGTTATTTTGACCGGCTACTATCATTCACGAATTAAAATAAAATGTTTAATAACTTAGAAATTCATGATTACTTGTTAATACATAATATGACTATTATGAATATTAATTATACTCCACACACACATATATAATATAACTTAGTTTCTGTGAGTATATTTTATTTTTTGATAAGTATATTGACTAATATTTTATATAATTACTTCCTAATGCTCAAATTCATTCATTATTCTAAACAATTTTATACCAATTTTTCTAAACAAAAAATAAAAACACAAAGATAAAAGGTCAATTGAGTACATCAAGTTGAGAGTCACGGAGTAAAGAGTACATCAGTTTCCAAATCAAACACAATAGTCCTTCTACTCGGTTGTTTGGTGTTAAACGAGTACAACACTAAAAAAAGACGTTAACAATGTTGACTTGGCAAACAAAATAGTGACATGTCACAAAAAAACATGAGGAAAATTCAAACTAATAATCCAACCTTTTAACGGTCTTCTAAGAATAGTCTCACCTTTTGATTATTCAAAAATAATCCAACTTTTGCACTCCATCTTCATTCATTGGTCCCTGACCGGTTGATAACCTGCTATTTCAAGTTATTTTTTTATCTTTACAAAACATTATGTGACAATAAGGTGAGATTTATGATATAATATATTGCAAAGATAAGAAAATAACCTGAAAAAAGCAGATCATCAACCGATCAGAAAAAGACCATTGAATGAAGACGAGGTGCAAAAGTTGGATTATTCTTGAATAATCAAAAGGTGTGACTATTGTAAGAAAAACGCTAAAAAGTTGGATTATTAGTTTCCATATTTCCAAAAAACGTGTCAATTGTTTACAATCCACACTAGGCCGGTACACAACCCTAACTTCACCATTGTTGCGCTAATTCAGTCCACCATTATCCAGTCCCCAAAGCTTAGGAGTGGGGTAATTTGGACGGTTTGAAGCATTAATTGGAACAAATGTACGATGTTGTATTATTACGGATGTGTCATTGTGCGTACTTGTGTTAGATGGATAATTTGTTATACATTTATGTTGAAATAACAGCAATGGACAATTATGAGCAAACAAGTATTCCCATTCATGAGTCGGTAAGGTTGTTAAAATCTCGATTTAAATCGTAAAATCGTACGAGTTTACGATTCTACATTAATAAATCGATTCAAATCGCATGCAAAATCGTAAAATTATAAAATCTTACAAAATCATAAAAAATCGTACAAAATCGTGTAGAATCGTTTAAAATCGTAGCAAAATCGTAATGAGTTTTTTTAGTGAAAATGGTTCAAATTTATTAAAATTAACTACTACAAATTGATACATAATTACAATAATGATAATAATAATAATAATAATATCAATAGTATATTTAAAAAGGTAATGGATTCCTTTGTTATTTAATTATTTTTATGTTTTACATATTGTTGGGATATTGACCTAGAGGCCCAATACCCAGATCGGGAAGCCCCAAGATATCCGGCCCAAGCAACGGGCCCATCACTCTATGATGAATAAGATCCAGTAAGAAGACATACCGAACGGAGTTCGGCCCAAATAAAGGTTGGCCCAGTAAGAAGACATACCGAACGGGGCTCGGACTATATATCATACTTGGGCCAATTTGACAGCATCTTCAGTACAGCCCAACATCCCATCCGAGCAATGGCCAACCAGCAAGTGGCCAGGTACAATTAATGCCAGACTATGACATCGACAAGTGGAAGCATGGATGACCAAGTCGGTGGGACAACGGGCAATCAGCAAGAGGCAGCCCATGCTCTCCATTAGTATAAAGAGAAGGTTTCAAGTCATTGTAAGGGTTAGCATTTCAATACTCAAGCTCTAGAATAGCATCATTTGCCCTTACTTCTTGTATTAAAGCATAGTTTCCGACTTACCGATCGGGAAATTCCTTGTAATCAGATTGGTTAATTAATACAAGTGAGCTTTCGAGTTTTAGTTAGTTCAGATCTTATATTTTCTCATACGCTTTGATTCTGGGCCATTCCTGATATATCCAAAGTTCGTGTTGGGCTTTCGGATCTACGGGATTTACCTTCAACATTGGCGCCGTCTGTGGGAACTTGCAAAAAGTTTCACTTTCTAAACATCCAAAAAACCTCTATTTTTAAAAAATGGTCAGAATCAATTCCTATCATACAAACGACGGTTCACACCGTCACGGGAGGAGGCACACCCCGGGGAGTCAAAACCCCCAGGGACAATCCAGTCGAGGATCCTATCCTCGTTTTAATGGGGATTTTGTGATTCCCGAATCTCTGAGAAGAAATCCCCAGGCCATGCGTGACATGGCCCAATTCATGCAGCACACGGCGAACGAAGAGGAAGGAGGTTCCAGCTTTACAGGAGAAACTCCACACGCGGAAACGACCACAGCGTCATCCCGTTCGCATACCCATCGGGATAATCGACGTAGCGCCCCACCAGCAGCGCATCCCAGTCCCAGTGACCGAACCCCGGTCGGGTCGCAAGCTAGAGGACCAACTCTCGTCGGTCATCATTTCCAGTATGCCGAGCGGGAAAATACTAGGGCCCCTCAGCGGCATTGGGACCGGGACTGTACGGATATGAGGGTTCCACCACCACCCCCTTTGACGGCCCAGGAGGAAGAAATGGCCGAGATGAGGAGGCAAATGAATGAAATGCGGGACCAGATGAACAGGGTACCTGTACAACCTGCGCCAGTTCAGCTGGGAATTACTTCCCCGTTTACTAGGGAGCTCATGTACGCGGATATCCAAGGGGGTGCCAAGCCCCCGACCGGCGAAATTTACGATGGGGTGGGAGATCCCCACGTACATCTGAGGAGTTACCAAGGGGGACTTATGCTGCTAGGAGCACCCGAGCCCGCCATTTGCCGGTTGTTTTTCAGCACACTCAGGGGGCCTGCCCAGGAATGGTTCGGGACACTACAGCCCGGGTCAATCAATAGCTTTGCCGAGTTATCAGCGTTATTCTTGGCTCAATTTGCTTCCAGTGCCAATCCCAAACGGCACTTCAGCTATTTGACCAGCGTGAGGCAAAACGCCAAGGAGACCCTCAACCAATTCCTGAAAAGGTGGAGGGATGAAACTTTAACAGTGGGAAACATGACAGATGATACCGCCATTACCCTGTTCACGAATGCTCTCCGAACGGGGGAGTTGTACAAGAATTAAAGAAGAATCCGGGTATGGCGTACGCCGAAGTGTTAGATAGGGCTCGCAAGCATGCCGCCCTAGAAGAGGAGATAATGATCAGGGATAAGGTCATTATGCCTGCTGCCCCGATCAGACTGGCCGATCGGCTGGGTCCTAGCCCATCGGCCACTTTACCTCCCAAACAAGGGAGATTTACACCCCTGGTCCTATCAATAGCGACCATCTATCAGCACGAGAGGGACAATATTCCCATCCCGACTGATTTTGGACAGTTCATGGGAACGGATGACAATGCTTTCTGTAAATATCACAACAGAAAGGGTCATGCCACCAATGCCTGCAGGGCCCTACAAACAGCAATTGAGGATCTGATCCGAAGGGGCCATCTGGGCAAATATGTGAACAAAGATCCGAATGCAATGGGCACGTTAAAACCGGCCAGGAAACCTAATAGCTGGCGCCGGGATGCTCAACGTGACGCCCAGCCTCAAAATGATGTGTATGTTCCTCCCATGGATGAGCCAGAGGGCTCGGGAGGCCCTGGAAAGAAGCCTCGAATGGAGGTCAAGGTCATATTTGGGGGCGGGGAGACCGGAGATTCGAACGCCGAACGGAAAAGGTTCGAGCGAAGTCTTTATGTGGGATCCGTCTCCGCTCCCCCCCAGAAGAAAGGAAGGACAGACCCGATCACGTTCGGGCCAGCTGATTTACCCAATTCTCCAAGCCCCCACAGGGATGAACTGGTGGTAAGCATGTGTATTTACAATGCTTTGATCCGTCGAGTACTGGTTGATACTGGGAGCAGTGTGAATGTATTGTATCTACAATCATTCGAGAAAATGGGTCTACAAAGGAGCCATCTGACCCACCTGCGGACTCCACTGGCGAGTTTTACCGGTAACTGCATCGAGGCGGAAGGAACCATCCAATTAATGGTTGAAATTGGGGATGAAACCCACAGAGCGTCACTCCGAATGACGTTCGTGGTGGTAGATATAAAGTGCGCATACAATGCCATATTGGGCCGACCGGGATTGGAAGATCTGGAGGCAATAGCCTCTGTCCGCCACTCATGCATCAAATTCCCTACAGACACTGGGGTAGGGGTGGCCAGAACTGACCCAACAACAGCCCGGACATGTTATCGGGAGGCCCTGAAACAGATGAACACTCGTGGGATGCGGGTGAACACAATTGAGGTGGAAACCCACCGAACGGAGTTCGAGGCACACCCGGAGCCCGCCACCCTTCTTGAACAAATCGACCTCGATTTCCCCCCGAACCGTAAGGTTGCTATCGGGGTAGATCTGGAGGCTGATATCCGGGATGGCGCGATCGCCGTCCTCAAAAAGTTTCAGGTGTTGTTTGCCCGGGGGCCAGAAGATATGCCCGGCATTGATCCA